GCGCTAGGCATGCTCTACGGGAAACTACGAACGCGTAGGGCTCGCCGGGGTGACCAAATGGTCACCGGAGCTACGCCGGCGGCGAGCTCGGCGGAGGTGAGCTTCGGCCTCAATGGCGGCGGTGGCTACGAGGCGAAAATGACGCGGGGAAGAGAAGGGAATCGACCGGAGGCTCACATGGTCGCGTAGAGATGGTCAGCGAGCTCGGGGAAGCGACGACGGTGGCGAATCGACGGTGAAGATCCTCGGCGGCCGGTGGTGGAGAAGGCGACGGTGGCGGCGTTGCAGCGCGTCCGGGACCTCGTGGCTTGGTGGAGAGGACGAGGGGGTCGAGGCGGAGCCTCTGGGCGCAACGGCATGGCGAGGCAGTGGCTGTGGTCACGGCAGCAGCGAGCGGCGGCGATGAGCGCGCTCGGGCGCGAGAGGGGGAGAGCAGAGAAGGGAGAAGGGGCCGGGAGAGAGTGAGAGAGAGGAGCGAGGGGGCTGCGTGGCGTCACCCGAAGAGGCCAGGGCGAAGCGGCAAGCAGGAGGTGGCCGGGGCGGCGTCGGCTCTCGCCACCGAGCAGCTTCGGGGCGAGGGGGAGGAAGACGACAGAGAGGAGGAGGTGGGCTGGGCCGGCCAGCTCAGATGGGCCGCCAGGTGGGCTAGAATGCCAGGTAAGTTACAGGTGAGTGCTCTGTTTTATTTTCTGTTTGTTTTATTTTTTTAAATTTATTTTGCCACTGTTTTGAATTTAAAATAATTCAAACAATGCCAAAAACTCCTCTGAATATTTTTATTTTGCTAGATGGACTTTTCCAAAAGCTCATAAAATATTTCAGGGGTATTTGAAATTATATTCTAATTATATGAATATAATTCAAATTCAAATAGCTAATGATTTAAATTCAAAGTCCCAAGATTAAGTCCTTAAAAATGTTCAATATTTTGGCTGGGACCAGAACCCTTTGCCAAAATTATCAAACATTTAAGAAGAGCATTTTGGAACAATGAATGAGATTTTAGGGTTTTTGCTCATCTTTTATTTAGGGTTTTGAGGCTTCCAAATTCCTCAGTTCAAGTTTCAAAAATTTAAACATGATGCACAGATGGAAGCAAGCATAGGTCAGGCCAAAACTAGGGATGTGACACTAGTAGAAACTAGTAGTAAAGTAGAAATGTTGTTCAGTTGATCCACACCTGTCTGTGCACACGAGGAACATCGAGTCGGCAGTCTGTTTCTTCAGGAACTCCTTCATGTTTGCGATGCGTTTCGCCTGGTCCAATGCAGCATGGAACGGTAGAACCTTGATCTGTGACGCTTTCCTGTCCAGCCGTGTCAGCACATTTTCTCCTTTCTACATGTCTCAATCTGGGAACACAAAGAATCCGGCTAGTTGTCAGACACTGGTATTTTCTGTTATGTTTTTTTGAGGAAGTTATGTTTGGTATTGATGAATGATGATATACAGAGATACTCCCTCCGTTCCTAAATATAAGACCTTTTAGAGATTCCACTATGGACTATATACGGATGTATATAGACATACTTTAGAGTGTAGATTCACTCATTTTGCTCTGTATGTAGTCTATAGTGAAATCTCTAAAAGGTCTTATATTTAGGAACGAAGGGAGTACAAGGGAGAGGAACTAGCACCTTATTGCAGAAAATGATTGTTTTACGAACCGGAGATTCCTCAATAATCTTTAGAAGTGCTGTTCTCTTGTTGGAAAAGGCTGTTTCCGGATTCTTTTCATCATTGTCATTTCCACTGCAGTCCACAAGAATCTGTAGTGTAACAGTACAAATGTCAAATGTAATCACTCTAGGAGAAATTGTTTTATGCAAAAAAATCTGAAGTTGTAAACAATGTCAGTAGCAACAGAGAGACAAGTCACTTCAGGAGTATTTCCTAGAAGCGTTTTCAGACAGTACGTATATGCAGCATAGTAAAAGGTTACAGAAACTAAGAAGGTGAGCAATGACCCACCTCTTCAAGACGGGCGCTTGTCCGGTGGACACTAGGTCCCATGATCACCTCACAGTCGGGAAAGGTTTCAACAACCTTGTTATATATATCAAGAGGAAGAGTTGCAGTGACAAAAAGATATTGTGTGGTCACTGGTGCGACAGTAATCAACTGATGAAGCACTTGTTCAAAGCCTTCTTCACTAAATAAAATATCCACTTCATCGAACACGGCACTGCAATTAGGGGGATCAACATGTTAACTTATGTCTTAGGTTATCTAGTGCATCCACTTATTTATCCCTCTGTCCAACTAAAAAAATGACTGGAAAAAGGAGCAGCCATACCATCTGAGGTTATTTAGCTGCACAAAGCCTTCCTGAAGCAGATACAAGAAACGGCCAGGCGTTGCTATAAGTACATCTAGCTCTTGATCAAGGCTTTCCAGCTGGTCTTCTGTCGAAATCCACCGGTCGCAACCATTGACCTGAAGGGAACCCCAGATTTCGATATTGAACGGCAATTCTGAAGGACCTGCATTTAGAGAAATGACTCAACAGGTTATTCCATAATTATTATTTTCCTCAAATTGATCCTGGAACCGCATAAAGCCTCAGCAACATCACATTCAGCGAGTAGTATAGTATACCTGAGAAGAAAGTTCAGCAGTAGGTGTCAATATTATGACGCGTGGGTTCCTGGGAGATGGTTTGTGGATCCCGATAGCTTCTTCCTTCCTTAAATTTTGAACTATAGGGCAGAGATATGCCAATGTCTTGCCAGACCCACTCTGATCAGCAATAATGCAACTCCTCCCCTCCAAGACAGGACCATATGCCATAGCCTAAGACGGTTTTACAGGGATACTCCAATTGATATGCAACATTCATGGATACCGAAGCTAACAACTGAATATATTTTTCGGCTCAGTAAACCAAAAGAGAAGAAATGAAAAATGCGTTTACCTGAATGTGTGATGGTTGAGGAAACCCGAAGGTTCTCAATGCACCGAGAATCTCATCGCCGCAGCCAATCTCCTTAAAAGATCTGCGGCTGAAAAACCCACTGTCCAAAGGGACCTTCTGCTTCCGATCCTCTCTTCTATAAGACGTAGCATCGGCAACTTTACCCCAAACTTTGGGGCCAAAAGCAGCCTCCTCATCAGAAAAATCTGAATCATCGTCGCCTTTGTATTGCCTCAGCATAGAATTCAGAGAACGCACGGCCCTGCTCCTCTCATCCCTAGAGTCATCATTTTATTTTGCGCGGCGTGCTGGGTCGGGGACAAACTTCCTTCTTCCAGATTTGCTTCCATCTTCATCAGAATCAGCATAAGAAGATTCACTACGCCGTGCGATGCTTGTGCGGACTGCTGATCTCCTAGCTAAAGCCTGCACTTTCTGGGCCTTCAGTCTTCCGAAGCTCCCGACACCTGCATTATTCCCCCCATTTGCTGCACCTGTAGTGTAAAAAATTGTCCCATTTTCTTCAAGGAAAAGTAACACATTTCACTCTCAAGCACTACAAATTTCTTGAAATTTCGGCTAAAGTTAACTCATCGATGAACAATTTTGCTAAAATTTTCCTAAAAAATTTGACATTGCCAAATAGATGCCGAACCTTTGGGGGCGGAGCGGTCGGCGGTGACCCTGGAGAGGACCGCCGAGGCAACGGCGGAGCTTAGTGCACTGCTGGGGGGCCTGTGGCCCCCCCAAGATTGGCACATGCAGGCTTAAATAATTGGAAGAAAGAGCTTAAATAATTGGCCCCCCCACTAGCTAATATATTTTGTTTAGCCCCCCCAAGGAACTTGGTCAAGCTCCGCCACTGCGCCGAGGACGGCACGCCGGGCTCCTCGCCGTCATCGACGCCGCCCCACACGATGACGCTCTTCCCGGTGCTCCGGTCCACGAGCCGGTACGCGCCGGGGGTGTCCATGGCCACCCGCTCGTAGTCTTGGCCGCCGTCCTCCCCATCCGCCGTGGCGGAGGACGCCCAGCTCCGCCGCGCGCCGCCGCAGGAGAACGAGACGGAGCACCGGAGGAAGGCGGCCGTCCGGCCGAGGAGGAGCAGCAGCGCGCGCGCCTGCGCCCCCGCCACGTCCATCGCCGGCGAGAGAGCGACTGAGTGAGCGACCGCTGCCTCCTATCCGAAAAAGAGGAGGGAGATATCGTTGCTTCGTGGGCCTGGAAAATGGGCCTCGTGGGCTGGGCCGCCAGGTAACGGACGGGCTGCCGTTTTTATTCACGCGGGGTCGCGTGCTTAGGGTTTCATTTCAGTTTTCCCTCGCGAATGGAGTTCCCATCGGGCCGCCGCATCAGGCGCTCGGCGCCGCCGCCGCCGCCGCCGGAAGGAGCAGGCTCCGGTGGCGTCCCGGACGGAGGCGACCGCATCAGCGCGCTCCCGGAGGACATGCTGCTCGAGATCCTCGGGCGGCTGGGCTGCGCCCGCGCCGCCGCGCGCACCAGCGTCCTCGCGCGCCGGTGGCGCGGCCTCTGGGCGCGCCTCCCCGGGCTCACCTTCCGCGACGTCCCGGCCGGGGTGGTCAGGCAGGCGCTCGCCCGCGTCCGTCCGCATCCGGGCGTGTCCGTCCTCGACATCCGTCTCGCGAGGAGCGCGCTGCGCGAGGCGGCCAAGCGCGACGACGCCCAGGCCAAGTCGCTGCTGCTCGCCGCCAGGCGGATCTCGCCCAAGGAGGTCGTCTTCTTCCTCCCGCGGTCTTACATAATTAAGCCGGGCCGTCACGTGGAGATCGCCGTGCCTCGCTTCCTCCGCACCACCTCCATCGAGGTGGACGCCCATTTGCTCCGCGTCAAGCTGCCGGACGCCGAGCTCCCTGCGCTGGAGAGGCTGTCTCTCTCCGGCAACATCGTCGACCTTGCGGCCTTCCTCAACCGCTGCCCGCGGTTGCGGGTGCTAAGGGTCACCTACCGTGAGGTCGAGCCCAGCTTGCTCGAAGCGGCCCTTGTCGCGCTCAAGGTTCCTCTGGAGCTCGGCCTTATTGTGTTTCTCCTTGGCATCGAGTTCGGCCAAAGTCATGAGAACTATGATATGGAAGACGCTCAATTTGCATCCATTCTCCATGCGGCGGCGAGGCTCTCTCCGCGGGAGCTTGTCTTCATTACCGACTTTGACAGATGCTTTCGTGCTGACCTGCCATGCTTCCCTAATGCCACATCGATTACGATGACGTTGCGGTCTGTCTGTTTCACACAACAAATGTTGAATGACCCTTTCTTGGCACTTGAGAGGTTGTCTCTCATGGGTTGCACCGTCCTTGATGTTGCCACCATGGTCTACCGATGCCCATGCCTGCGTGTGCTTAAGATGAGCGCAGATACGTCTACACATGATGTTACGGTGCACTCTGCGTCGCTGCAAGAGTTGGAGCTTGTTGTCCACGAAACGCAATGTGAGGGCATCAACATCACCACTCCGCTACTTGAGCAACTGAAGCTTGATGTTTGTGCAAGCTCGGACCTCAGCGTGTCTGTCTCGGCGCCAATGTTGCAGAAGGTCTCATGGAGGTTTGCATATTCAACCGTGGTTCATGTGTTTGGGTTGTGGTTTCTTCAAAAAATGGAGGTGGACACGATAGAGGACGATTACAAATACAAAGATGGGGAGCTCATCAATGAAGGCGACGATGCATGTTCACATCCCCCTCATGTTCATGCCCTATCTTTGCACATATTTGCTAATGTATGTCTCTCTTTTTAACCTATTTTTTTTACTTGTTTACCTATTTTTTAATTATAGGACAATGCCCGTGCGTTGCAACGAGATATAAATATTTCAGACGTTAGCTTTGATTTACCTGCCCATATTAATTCAGTTGTGTAAATAAATTTTTATCAAATTCTGTCGGTGATTTACCTTATATATATAGTTTGAAAAATGAAGTTTGATAAGTAAATTAAGATGAATTTTTTTAGAAGACCATGTAAATTATGGTGATTGATTACCATACGGGGAAGGTGTGTACAACGGTGTGGTGGGACAAAAAACCGACTGAACAAAAAAGATCGGTGGAGGGACGTGATGGGAGGGTAAAATCGGTTGACGAAGTGTCTTGCTGGTAGGAAAAGGAAAGCTAATGTTTTGTTTAAAGAGTAGAGATTTGGAATTAATATGTGTCTGCAAGAGTGAGTGAGTACTGCAACTTAATTTGCTTTTTTTTGTTGACTTGTACGTAGAGCTATGCCCTACACAAAAATATAGTCACGAAGCAACTATTTTCGTAAAATATTGTCCGAAACATAATTTAAACTAAAGTTATTGTTCTTTCGAAAGTTGTAGTATTTATATTAGTTTTTGTATGTTACGGGATATTGTAAATTTTGTGCATAGTGTAGTGTGCAACTTTCATAAACTGGATTTCTGTTTAGATTTTGTGTCATGTATATTACTCCCTCCATTCCATTATATAAGGTGTATTATTTTCGGCATGGTGACAAGTTAGGACAAAATTACCCTTGGCAAATTTGTTGGCTAATGGCAAGTAAATCAGCTAGTCCAGGAAAGTAAGAGATACATGCAATCGATAGAGAGATATTTTCCATTTTTTTTCTACAAGGAGAGATACAGACAATTGAGAGAGAAATACTTTCATTTTTCTAGAGGGCTAACAAGGGGATTATGAGAAAATAGAAAAAAATGCACCTTACATTCTGAAATTTTATCAAAAAACTAATACACCTTATATAAAAGAACGGAGGGAGTATAGGTTATACACTTATTTTTATCTAATCCAAAAATTATATCTTTGTAGGTAAATATTTTTTTGTTATCACGTTGGCTAGGTTTAGTTGCACGTTTTCCTAGCATTAGTTTGATTTTTTGTATGTTGGTTGGTCCTTATGATTTGACACTCATACACGATTGTTTTTGCTAAGCACATTGTAGTTCCTTTGTGCCTCATTTCAGAGAGTCATATTTAATGTATCTCAATGGTTCATGTTCAACATAATTGCCTCTACTTCATCCATGCCAATGTGTAATCTTATAGTAATAGTGAGCTGAATATAGAATGCAGAAAGTTTTGCGTAATTTAGTGTAATTTTGATTTTAGAGAAATTTTCTTACTAACAACATTTTCCATGGTAACTTTACTCTTATAATTCTTTCTTGTGTAGAACCATTTTATCTTTTTTTCTTAAAAAATATGTTTTAGTTTTATCCATAAATTTATATTTTTATTCTTTCTGGGAAACACTACTACATTACTGAAGGAATTGGGGTACACTAGATAGAGTATATTTCTACCAATGTTGCATATTCATTTCAAAAAAACCATTTTTTCTCCAACTTTAGAAAACTCCTTTCTCATCCCAGATAATTTTCTTGGTCAATAGATTTTTTGAGATGTCTACATATTTGTGAGTAAGAGTAGCTATATTACTGATGTAATGGACGAGTCATTGTAGTGATTGAGAATAACTTTTGTAGTTTAGCTATAGAAAGGAAAATTGGAGTACTTTGTACTTGTTCTTACATGGAGTGGTATAGTGCAAGATCCTTGTAATGTGCGTGCAAATCTTGAATTTTTTTGCAATTATCTTCCGTAGTCTTCCAGTCTTTTTATTTTATTTTCAGTCAAGGTAATACTACTCCATGAGTTATATATGCAACAATAAGTTTTTTTGTTTCTTTCCCCTTTTTAGAGATTTTTTCTTTTAAATCATAGTTATTGTTCATATTTTTGTGTGTATGGCAATCACTTGAGTCGAACAAATTTGTAGTAGGCTCACCGATAGGGTTAGCTTATTATGAAATTCATGTTATGGACAAGGTACACAATAGTTCTTATATTCAATGCAACAGCTAAAAAAGGTGATTGAATTATCTAAAGAACTCATCCAGTGAACCATGCACACATATAATTTGTTTTTACTAAATTTTCTTGTTGCACGCACTTTTGTGGTAATTTTGCTCCTAGTATTTATCCTTTGTACAACCATGATTTCATTATTTTCTAATATTTATCTTTTTTTTGTTTTAGTTTTGTCCATCAAGTCTCAACCTAAATTATTTCTTATTTTTATTTGTATCCTTTCTAGGCAACACTACTACCTATATATTCTTGCATAAACAAATTTTTTGCATACATGTTTCAATTAATTCCTACTTGTTTTGTTGAGCTGGTTTTTCTGTTTATTAGATCATTTTAGATGTTTGCTTGTTTATGAGTACAAGTAGAAATACAATTGATGTGATGCATGAGTCATCTTAGTTGAGGAGAAACATTTTTTCCTCCTTCAGTTGTAACGATGAATAATGCATTATTTATACTACTTCTTACATGTTATATATGTACCAAGTGTATGCAAGTTCCGTGTAATTTGTGTGCAAATCTTATTTTTTGGGCAATTTTCTTCTTCCTTGGTCTTGTTTTTCTTTCTTTCAATAAAGGTAATACTACTAAATGAACTATATCTGCCATAATAACTTTGTTCAGTTGATTCTGTGGCTTTCTCTATCATAGTTATGTCGCCAAGTTCTCTCTCTCTCTCTCCCTCTCCCTGTGTGTGTGTGCGCGCGCGCGCGTGTGTGTGTTGTAGCAATCCAACTGATGTGATGCACAAGTCAACATAATTACCTAGAACAAATTTTATACTTTTTGGTGAAAATTGTAGTACTTTATACTTGTTTTGACATGTTATGGCTTACTAGAAGTATTTTGTACTGTGGGTAATGATCTTGATTTTGAGATTTTTTTGGTCTTGCATATTCTTTTAGTTAATTTTATTTTTATTTTCAATATTGGTAATACACCACAATGAATTATATCTGCCATAATAAGTATCTTTTTTCTTGCTTTTGCCTTTTTAGGGATTTTTTTTTCTGTTCCTATCATAGTTAAAGCGCCCTTTTTGTGCATGCTAGTCCTTCCAGACGAAAATATTTGTAGTAGGCTCACAAATAGTCCTGGATCATTATGCATGTCATGTTATGGATGAAGAACATAATAGCTTAGGAACAATTTAGAGGCTAATAAAACAATACGAATGTGTAAAATTCCAACAACTTACATATAGACAACCCCAACTTTGAACCTACTGGATTTTCTTAGTAAACAATTCTAAGAATGTTATGATATACACAAGGCCAAATAATTTATTCTTTTGCAGAAGAATATGGGTATGGAACTAAACCTGGCGCGGGAGATAGAGAAAATTCCGGTTACCAACTTTACAGTCTTGGAGCTACATCTCCATGCAAAGAGGCATGCTATAGCAGCATTTGTGTTCCATCTTCTTAGCATGAATCAAATTCAAACTACTACACGCAGGCTTAAGCTTGTCCTATCGAGGTGGTCTGAGGTAATTATCCATGGTGCTTATATGTATATCTTACGATCATTCCATTTTTTAATATATTGTAATGTTTTCAATGTCCTAGATGTCAAAGTGTCTTAAAAAGTGTCCTTGCAATGAGCCCAATAACTGGAGGAACCAAATTATCTCCTTGAATCATCTTGAAGAAGTAGAAATTAAAAACTTTAGAGGAGGGGATCGTGAGATTGATTTAGTGACACAGATGTTCATTTGGGCACCAAATATGAAAAGAATGACCATCAAGCTGACATCGGAGGTTAAACCAACTGACATTGGAGGTTGCGCCATGAGTGTCTACAATATATGTTTGGCCCATCCTTCTGTGAACTCCTTTGTTTATCTTAGCTCTGGTGAATGGGTACCATGCTCCTCGATGGAAGGTGATTGTGATAGAGTGGTTATCGAGCTTGATTAGAATCATACAGGCTTTGTTTGTTTCCAAAAAAGAAACACTCATATGTGAAACGAGAATCTTTTCCATGATGTGGATACAAGTTGTGTACTGGGTCTCATCTCATGCTTAATGTGGAACCTATTATCTTTAATACTCCATTGAATGTTTTTGTATGATAGACACAACAGTTTGTTCAATCTTTACTCAGTCTCGTCTCTTGCTTCGTGTTTTCAACCTATTGCCTTTTGAAATTATATATAGTTCCTTAGTGCCTTTCATATTTCGTAAATAATCGGGATGGTTGAATGTATCATCGAACCTATTAGGTTTTGGTCATTAATGACAAAGCAATTGACAGGACTAACATCTTATCAAGTTTATTTCATGTATTCAGTCCTTAATTTTTAGCAGAAACATCAATGGTGACCCCAACCTCCATATTTTCAATACTTTTCCTGCCTCAAGGACTTATCATGTAATTTATAAGTTCTTTGGTTAATCAAATATTCACATTGAGTGTAGGACATTCGTAAAATCAAGATCGGGAAAAATGAAAGATCTTTGGTTGACCAAGGTAAGATCCTAAACCAAATTGTTGACGTATATGCCACTCAGGCATTTCAACTCCTTTCTTTCTCATTGTACCAGTTCATCGAAGTGTTCTACCAAGTACTATCAAGCCTAAGAGGATTGATTTAGTCATGGTGAGCAAACCATGTTTTCTATGTCATTAGAATTGCTCAGATGTATTTTCTTGAACATACAAGCTATTTTTCATTTAATACGGTATGTTTGCTCTAGACATTTGAGCATAACATTTTCACCGCCACTTCCGGGACCTTCTAGGTTTCCTTCTACACTAGAGTCTCAGCATCGCCAGGTATTTCCATGCTGATATTGTCGGTACCTCATGTAAAGCATGTGCATTGTAGCCTCACCATATGAAGATTTTGCATACATCAACATCCACCCATATCATGCATGTCCACAAAATTTAAGCCCGACCCACCTACCACAACTTCCTCCACAATTTTTAAAGATTGCATCCACAGAACCATCTTGTGTGGGAAGTACATTTTGCATCCACCCATTTAAGCTCAAACTTGTCATGGTGATCGACCATGACAAAACACCACTACCACCCAATTTCCATCAATTTTAATCACACCATTTGACCACAACAACCTCTCAAACTTTCGAGTCAAAAAATTAGTTTACACGGTGATCTGAATCCAAGTCAAGTAGACAAATTAATTGGCAAACCAATCTGCAATCCTAAGGCAAGATTTGACCAGTGTAAACTAATTTACAATGCAAAAGTGAAAGCACAAGTGCTCGCTGGGAGATTTTGGTAATTAATGTCAACATATCTCTTGTTGGACTAATATTTTCATCTAGTATATTTCAGAAAAGTTCAACATTGGAGTGGCATGGACAAGAGGATGTAGAACCCCTTCAAGATGCTAAGGACAGACATTGGCAAAATCTCAAGACTCTACATTTTCATTTTAGTGATCCAAAATCACATTGAGTCCATAGGAAAGCCAATACTATTAAAAGGGGATGAGGTGTTGCTTAATGGCTTGCTTGCTCAAAGTGCTTAGTGATATGCTCCAAAGCCCTCAACCACTTTCTCATTTCCACATATGTCCTAAACCTAAAGTCAAACTCAGCCCCACCGATTTGATCTATCCGACGCCACCGAGTTCATTTGACATAGCCACTGCCAGAAACCCTAATCAGTTCGGTCTCACCGATGGGATCTCGGTCTCACCGAGATGGGCTTCCTAACTCTCTTTGTTGCCTGTTGCAACAATTTTGGTCCCACCGAAATATGCAGTCGGTCCCACCGAGTTTGCTTTGACCAATTCTCTGTTTGTTTATTACCAAAATCGGTACCGAGTTTGTGTAATCGGTCAAACCGAGTTGAGGTTTTACCCTAACCTTAGCACATCGGTCCCACCAAGTTTGCCTTGTTGTTCCCATTGAAAACTCTAATGTTCACATTTTGAACCAAATCGGTCTGACCGAGTTTCACCATTTGGTCTCACGGAGTATGGGAATCTGTGTGTAACGACTAGATTTTGTGTGGAGGCTATATATACCCCTCCACCCACTCTTCATTCATGGAGAGAGCCATCAGAACGTGCCTACACTTCCAACATTCATTTTATGAGAGAGAACCACCTGCTCATGTGTTGAGACCAAGACATTCCAATCCAACCACAAGAATCTTGATCGCTAGCTTTCCCCAAGCTGCTTTCCACTCAAATCATCTTTCCACCATAGCCAAATCTGTGAGAGAGAGTTGAGTGTTGGGGAGACTATCATTTGAAGCACAAGAGCAAGGAGTTCATCATGTACACACCATCTATTACCTTTTTGGAGAGTGGTGTCTCCTAGATTGGTTAGGTGTCACTTGGGAGCCTCCGTCAAGATTGTGGAGTTGAACAAGGAGTTTGTAAGGGCAAGGAGATCGCCTACTTTGTGAAGATCTACCCAAGTGAGGCAAGTCCTTCATGGGCGATGGCCATGGTGGGATAGACAAGGTTGATTCTTCGTGGACCCTTCGTGGGTGGAGCCCTCCGTGGACTCGTGCAACCGTTACCCTTCGTGGGTTGAAGTCTCCACCAATGTGGATGTACGATAGCACCACCTACCAGAACCACGCCAAAAATCTCCGTGTCTCCAATTGCGTTTGCACACTCCAATACCATCACTTTACTTTCTTACAAGTTGCATGCTTTACTTTCTGCTGCTCATATACTCTTTGCATGCTTGCTTGAATTGTATTTTGAACGCTTGAAATTGTGCTAATTTCCAACCTCAACTTGAAAAACCTAAAAACTGATATCTTTACATGTTGAGGGTCTAATCATCCCCCTCTAGACACCTCTTCTCGATCCTTTCAATTGGTATCAGAGCTTTGATCTCCATTGATTTGGTTTAATCACCATTGGAGGAAGATGGATGAGTCTATGATTGGGAGTATTAGATGTAGAGTGTCTTTGCTTGATGGAGAGTTCTATAGTGAGTGGAAAAATGAGATGCTTGGAATTTTTCATGAATATCACTTGAACAAGTACATTACTACTGCTTGTGAACCCCTTGTTGACCCCTTGCATCCTACCCCTGATGAGTCTCTTGGCATGATTCGCAATCTTAGAACTATCAATCTTATCACTAGAGGTTTGCCTCGAAATTTGGTTAGTCACTTGCCAACTCTTGATTATGCTTATACTATATGGAGATTTCTTGAGGAAAGATTTCCGGACTATTCCTTGAAAAACTTAGATGAGATTCTTCACAAGTCCATTGCTTTGAATAAGATGAATCCCAATGATCCTAATGTCACAGCCCTAGCTCAGCCCCTGTTGCCTTTGCTTGATTCTCATGTCATCATGTTTACAATTCAAATGATTTTGAAATGGGGATGACAAACCCTAGCACCAAATTAAATTCAATAGGGTCAACCATAAATATTTTCAATGAACCCATAATGCTTTTCAGAAAAGTTCATCATTTTTGAATTGGTCTAGAACCTCTGCCAAAAATGGTGCACATTTATCTAGGTCACTCTGGATTTTTGAAATTAATCCATTACGTATTTGCATTTGGGTATTTAATTCCTATAAATATTTTAATTGCCCAAGTAATACTGATAATGGTTGAGGGCTGCTGATAAATATTTGAACAGTGCCCACAACTTATCTCAGTATTTTTAGGAAAGGTTTAGTATTTTTTAGTAATTAATAAACAACAGCAGAAAAGAAAGCAAAACAGAAAATATAAACAGAGCAGAAGGACTTACCTGCACCCACCTACGACCTGCTACTGTAGCCTACTGGCAGCCTAGCTGGCAGCCCAGCCCACCAGGGGCTCCCGTGTCATCTTCCTCCTCTGCCAGGAGGACAAACAGGTGCGTGGCGAGCGCCGATGCTGCCCTGGCCACCTCCTGCTTCCCCGGCCCCTTCTAGCGACGCTGCAGAGACGCCCTGAAGCCCCTGTCCTCTCTCCCTCACTCGCTGCTCTCTCTCCCCTCCCCTGGCTCTCTCCTCTGAGCTCACCCGAGCGGAGCCGTCGCACCGACTAGCACCACCGCGACCACAACCACCCCACCACCTCTCTGAGCTGTCCCCGAGGTCCACCGTGATGCCCTCCTCCTTGTCGCCAAGTGACACGTCACCGGAAGCATGGGAGCCTCGCCATCAAGCTTGACCCCGCCGCCTCTACACTGAGATTGCCAGCGACCGTACGCTGTCCCTGACGCCTCCTCGAGCCTGCTGAGCTCCGCCTCGACTCCGCCATGAGCACCTCGTCGTTTCCCCTCTCCTCTCCTCCTCGATTGCGTGCCATAGCCGCACTAACAACCGCGGACAAAGCTCGCCGCCGCCGTGCCTCATCGCCGCCGTGGGCTGAGCGCGAACCACCCGCGCCCGTGCACCCAAACGTGTTTGTGGTGCCTCCAGGAGGACAACGCAGCCGCTAGCTGGCCCCCAAGTGCATCGCAGCCCCGTGCCCGCCTGTCCCCGAACTCCGGCCGCCGCCAACCTAGGCCATCCTAGTTGCTGCTGCTGCTGCAACCACTAGATGCGCGAGAACGCCAGCAAGCCTTAGCAGCAAACCGCGCTCAAAACGGAGCCCCATAGCGATTTTCTGAATCGCTCCGCCGTCGGTTTGGTCTTCGCCGGCCGAACTCCGGCGAAGTCGACGTGGCACCGTCATTAGTTGCTAATGACTATGCTAGTTAACCCCTCTCTCACTGACATATGGGCCCCATGCCCTAATTAACCCCGGGATTTATTTCCCTATTTAACTTAGACTAATCCACTGGGCCCACGTGTCAGGTTGACCTTGCTGACGTGGCCGTTGACTGGACCCACCTGTCATTGACCCTAGGCAACACCGTGTCACTGGTCGGGTTTGACCTGGACCGACCCAGTTGATCTGTTGACATCATCCTAATGCAATGCTGACGCAGTAATCATTTTCTGGCTTTAAAATAATTTAGAAATTCCAGA